CCACTTGAACACCATTGGCATTGACAAAATCACCATCAGTCAACTGCAAAAGGCAGCTTTTTTTTGCAACAACTTACATCCTGCAACAATATCTTTAACACCATCAAACAACATCTGCCTATGCCAGGTCCTTGGGAAGGACCTGAAAAATGCCAAATCCAGTCTAAACATCTGACTGACCATAATAAATTAAAGTTGTATGCCTCCTGACTCTCAGTAACTCTGGGCAGCATACTAGCATCATAGTCTAAATCTTTTAGCAAGGGCCATTAATTTTTTGTCTCTTGATGAAAGCTAAAACGTTCTTTACCTTTGTTTTCTATTTCTGTGAATTAATAAGAGAAGTTGACATGGGACTTACTGTAGCATGTTTCTGTTTTGAGCCTCTGCAGGAATGTTGGACAAAAACATATTTCAGAACATTTTGTGGAGTCCTTGGGGTTCTCTGAACTTGCTTGTTTTCTTGCAAGCATTTCATTACCCGGCTAGGTAGCATCTTCAGTGCACTGAAGATGTTACCTAGCTGGGTAATGAAACGTTTGCAAGAGAACTACTAAGCTCAGAGAACCCCAAGCACTCCACAGTTCAACCCTGAGCTACACATATTCTTTTCTATCAGAACATTTTGTTACTGTTGTCATGGGACAGTTCTGACATGAGCAAACTGAATCCTTGTTGCTCTTAAAGTAACTTTGGTTCTCAAATTATCAAAGCAGTATAGGAAGAGACAGATTTCAAGTACACTCCTCTCATTAATACAGGAAGAAGTGGTGCTCAGTGAACTTTCTGCCTCAAAATTCACCTAAGCGAGACAGTGAAAATGACAATGATGGTCCATTTACATCAAGAGTATAGCTAGGAAGATAATTCCATTCACATGGAAAAGGCTGTAAATATAATTTATCCAGATTTGGAGGAGTGGTTGGATTTTATTTTTCACAATGGTTTTTGTGCATTTCCCTCTTCAAAATAGGAAATCGGGCTGCCAATTTTTGACATTCATGACACCAAAATTTGATACTCCAGCCTGATAAAATTCATGAATTTTTTTTTAGCAACTTCTGAAGCTTGGGGCCCACAGATTGCCCAACTTTGAATTATAACAATGTCAATGAGCAAGCATGGTGCTGTATAACAGAGATGTGCAACATCAGCCTGTGACCCACATTTGGCTCCCCAAAAGCCTTTGATGTAGCCCCTCCCCCAAGACTTTCAAATAATAATTGTTACTGTGTTGAGGGAATTATTATATATATAATAGGAGAATAATTATATTAATTCATCTAAATTTTAATTAACTTTAGATATAGTCCAAATGAAGGGAATCCCATTTAGTTCTTGTCTTGGCTTCATCCACCAGTTTCTGGAATATGTACCTTGGCATGTCATAAAAAGGTCAGACATGACTCTCAGCCTAGAAATAGTTATACCATATTTTCCTGATCATTGAATATAAGAAAATAAATTCTGGCTCTGAAGGGCTTACAATGTAAAATTTAGTCCAGGAAAAACAAGAAAGAAATGGGAAAAATAAAGGCAACAGTAAATGGGATAATTGAATTATTATTTCAGTTGCAAACAGTATCTTTATTTCATTTCAACTATTGAAACCATAGTTGCATGCTTTATTCAATATCACATAGAAACCAGAGAATTGGTCCCAGGGATGTTCTCATATTCAGCTTTCCTACATTTCTACACAAAATGACCTGACTGTCATCTTTTGAACTAGTGGGAAAGATCAGAATTTAAGGTATCCAGTAGACTTCATATCAAGGATAACCAGGCTTCATTTGGACAGAAGTAATATAATGTGTTCCAAGTTCATTTGGAAGGTTGATAAATATCCTACCAACCATACCAAAATGATAAACTTGGGTTCTCATCTGAGATTTGAACTTGTCTTAAATCTGTTCTTCATGCAATATCTGGGATGGTGTAGAATTGTATTCTATCCCTTATTTTGTCAAAGGCCAGATGTTCAAGGACCCTTGAAAACTAATTGAACAATAATATTAAATGAAATACATTATAGCTCATAATTGCATTCTAACACAAAAACACATATCACAAATGGCTGCTGGTCATAACAATAGTATGGATTGTTGGATTTCTCAGTAGTAATTATAAAGGCATCTGTAGCTAGCCATAATGATGCCAAAAGGATGAAACAGGCATTGTGACATGATGCATTTTCCACCCTTTCATACTTGCATCATGATGTTGGATACAAATGTGTAAGGGGAGGAGTTTGCATTATGATCTCATAAACATTTTTGTCATTTGTACCCCTTGCCCTACTTCTCTGGATGTCAATGACCAATTATTAGGGGGATGAAGTTTGGATTCATATAGTATAGCTTTTTTATATTCTTA